ATAAATTTAAAACAGATTCAAATGATTGACTGATCATTTCAGCCGATTCTTTCATTTCTTGGTCGTTGAGAATGGCGTTCACAATGAGGCGAATACTCGGTTTGGGCAACAAGTGCTCGCTGTCATCGAGATATCGGGCCACTGTCAGCGCATACCCTCTCTCTTGTGCCTTCAAATCAATTGCAATTTAATGACAATTCAAATGGTTATGAAAATGACTAAAACACTCACGATTTGGACCACTTTCTCCAACTTCTTGGTCTCAAGTTTATGATCATTGGTATTGTTAGCGAATCTCAAGTGTTTGATGGGTGCTATCGGTTCGCCAAACACTTTCACATACGGAATGCTATAATAAATGAGTAAATTATTAAATGCTTAAATCACTACTAAATGGTAAAATATTTGCCCACTCTTTGAGTAATGAATGCATGGATTGACAATTTTGGCGCAACTTCTCGATCACGGAATTGTCGTTTTCGATGGTCTCGAGTGAAGTGAGAGCGACGGCCGCCTGTAGTGGAGGTAATGACGCGGAGAAGCAATAGCCGAGTCCTGAGAGTCTTTGGTGGTCCACAATAAAACTGGTTCCGCAACAGAAGCCTCCATACGCTGCCATCGCGTTCTCCAAAGTGGCACAAATCATGTCAATGTCGTCGACAGCGACGCCAAAGTGCTCGACAACTCCGCGTCCGTTAGCGCCGAGCACTCCCAGAGCGCACGTGTCGTCGATAAACATCCGAACCTTATATTTCTTCTTCAGTTCGAGCTATTGATAGATAATTATTTCAAATAAATGTTATGTAAGTATTGTTAATAATAATAATAATATGTATTACGAGTTGAGGCAGAGGACAGATATCGCCGTAATTGATATAAAGGCCTTCGACAACGAGGAAACGACGCGTGACTTTCGCTTTCTTCGGATTCTTCGGGTATTAAAAAGCATTTCAATTAATAATTAAAGCAATGATTGAAAGTAAAAAATGCAATACTTTGCGGTCAATATCTGCCTGTTCTAAGAGGAGTCGGTGCAGATCCTCGACGTCGTTGTGCTTAAAGAACTTGATTTTACTTCTGGAGGCAATCAATCC